GAGTGATTGGGGAGAAGAAATAAATGTTTACATCTCAAAAAAACGACAGAATTACAAAAATCCAGTCAAGCTCTTGTTTCTGCCAGAACTCACTGCACTCCACAGAAGGCCTCGCACAGCCCCTTTGTCATCTGGCTGCAGCATCCGAGGACAGAGACCACACTGCCTCGGCCACATCACAAATCCAAGCCCAAGGCTTTCAAAACCCCGATCCTCCAGTACCCGAGAAGACCTGGGTTGATCAGCCAAGTTTTAGGCTCAGTAACTTTTCTATTTGACTATCTAATGCCAGAGGGAAGTGAATTCTAGGAGTAGCTTACACTGGACAAGGGACCTACATCAAGGTTGGATGAACAAGATGCCCAAAGAGTGGCTGTAGACCATAAAGAGAAATCCCCCCCACCATCTGTAAGGACTTCACACGACTCTGCACACAGACAATACCATGACAGTATCAAGCTACACATCTACGCCCGATGCCACGAGCAGGAAATACTTCCTCTCTTACTCTACCCAGACCTGTAAATGCAAGGGAATACAAAAAGAAAAACAAAACAAGCAAAAACAAACAAACAAACAAAAAATCCTAGGGAAAAGATCTGACCTTGCTGCTCTTTACAGCCCGGTGGGGAAGGAAGGGTGGCAGGAAAGGAAGAATCTTGAGTTCTGCTAGTGTGTCCAATTCACATTCTTACCAAAAAAACCCCAACTTCAAAGTCTACCTGGCACTTATAATAAGATGGGAAGTAGTGGGACTAACCTGGAGGAGTTTACGGGCAGAAGGAGGGGAGGAAAGAAACAGAACCCTTGATTTTTAAGGTCCATCATTTGCTTTAGAATAAAATCTCTCCCTGTTACTGTGGTTCAGGCTTATCAGGCAACCAAGGGACACAGACACCCCACCCACAGTTAACTTAATTGGAATCAGACATATAAATCCACTGGTTAGCTCTAAAAAAAAAAAAAATCCCAGGTTGGCCTGAGTGTTATTCCAAAAGGGCATGCCCTCCATTTGCTGCTCTGAAATACCAGCTTCACATGGCTTTAACCAGCAGCAACTCCCATGAAAGGAGAGTTGTTGACACTGTTTCTTCCCAAGAAGAAGGACCAGATGTGCAGAACTGCACCACTTACAGCCCACGTGTCCGGCCAGACAGGAAACCAGGCAGGCCACAGACAAGGTCCACACGGTGTGCACATACAGGGACTGACTGACTGACTGACTGACTGACTGACAGACTGACTGGGGCACCGGTGTGCACACACAGACTGACTGACTGACTGACCGAGGCACCGGTGTGCACACAGACTGACTGACTGACTGACTGAGGCACCGGTGTGCACACACATGGACTGACTGACTGACTGACTGACAGACTGACTGGGGCACCGGTGTGCACACACAGACTGACTGACTGACTGACTGGGGCACTGAGGGCCAGCACAGTGCTCAGCTCTGCACCCACCTCTGGGACAATACAACACGTCTGGTAAAGACCCCACAGTTCAGCATCACCAGCCCACCCCCCACACACAAAAGGCAGGCCTCCCTCACCAAATAAAGCTCCTCTGCTGTTTTGTGACCAAACTGTCACCAGCACTCTGTACCCAACCCACACACCAGATCCCAAATTAAAATGTGCAATGACCACCTGTACTCTGGGCCACAGCAGTAGTCACCCTGCCCTTTCCAATCCTCTGACTCCTGCAGAGGAAGGATACAGACCACAGCCAGCAGGGCACACACAGTGCTCACGGACACCCTCAATGTTACTACAAGGAGCTCCAGCTTGTTGAACTGAGGGCAATTCTCAACCATGTGTTTTCTGCCCCTGCAGGGAGTGCTGGAAGAACAAGCAGCTCTGTCCCACCCTGCAGGAACCCGAGCACAACACACAGCTCGCTGGGCAGCCTCACTAACTGCAAACTTTGACCAGAGTTCTACCTGCTCCTGTGTCATACAGGGCTCTGCACGACAAAGCAGCTAAATTTCTACACCAGTAAGCCACACAAAGGTATTCTCATGGCCAAGCAGCTTCTTTGTGGACCGAGCCTGCTGTCCTTTTGCTCTTCAGGTTTGTTTTTCAAATAAATCCCTAAGGCAGAGGGGTGAGAGGGGAAATTGCTTACATGTGAAAATATCTAATGAAAATGCTAAATCAGATAAAGCTTCTCCAACCTAATAGAGCAGGTAACGTCAGAACTGGCAGACTGCGTATAGCAGAAAGTCAAATTATTATAGTCTCCAGTATTCAAAACGGGGTACAAAACTACTGCCACCCCATCACTGCTGCTTTTTAAGGATTTTTTTAAGTCAGCAGAGTTATAAATGATCTACTGTTACAGAGTGCCTTCCAGCACTTGGAAGCAAGACAGATTTTTATCAAGGAACAGCAGCCGCAGGAGCACACTCTTTTCATCTCGCTGCTAGCCATACACCAGAGCCCCAATGAGTTAAACCCTGCAGCAAATTTCCAAAAACAATGGCTTCAAGTCGTCCTGGACTTCCCAAGGAGAGCAGGATTACACATCATGGCATAATCCACTGGAGGCAATCAGCAGGTTTTTCCGAGAGGGTCATTCTAAGAAAATCAGGGAAGAATGCTGGGCTGTTACAACCTGCCACTGCTTGCTCAGGAACCAATTTGCATCACCAGAGAGGTGTCAAACCATGGAGATGCAGTTTAAAAAGCCCAAAAGAAAGCGTTTTACTGGGCTGTGGTTTGAAAAGGGCAAGGAGCAATTAGGGTGGATCAGGAGGGGGAAGGAACACGCACAAATAAGTGAGTGTGACCCGCAGGCACAT